TCCTAAGAGTTTTTTATGCCCCCCTCCAAAATCCGGCCTTATCCATTGTACAAGTACACATAACCGTCGATGGCGCCATCGACGGCCTTGATGGCGCTGTCGGCAACAGTCGGCTGATTTTGGAGATTTTGTCCTGTAGCCTCGAGAAAAACTCGTCGGCGGCGGCGTCGATGGCGCCGTCGGTGCCCTTGTGCGCACCTTTTTGCATCTTTTTTCTCTATTGACTTTTTTTGCTCCAAATTCGCTCCTTTTTTGCATCTTTTTGCTTCATTGACCTTAATTCATCATTCCTGCGACAAAACATCAAAAATAACTTTTTTTAAAGTGCAATATCATTAAAAACAGTATAAAAGAGGTACAAAAATCTCAACATATTTTCCTTTGGTCAGGAGCCAACCATTTAGGGAAGCGAGATCATTTGAAGATTTCTTGGAGAGGAGTAGAGCTTGGGGAAGAAGGTGTGCTGCTGGAGGAGAGGTCTTGGTGAAGAGTTTAAGGATTTGGGAAATTCTAATTCCATTTTTTTCTTCTTCTACTTCTAGTTCTTCTTATTCTCCATCAATTTCTCCACTTCTTCTGCATCATCTTCTTTTTCAGCTGTCATTTTGCCTGAGAAAACAGAGAGGAGATAAGGTTTCTTTCTTGGAGCCTTATTGAAATCTCCTTTTTGGGAGAAGGTTTTTTGTTGGAGTTTGTGACGTCGTCAGAACCTCCTCACGGGGAGAGCTTCATCGTCCTATGGAGAAGAGCATATGTCGGAGCTTAGAAACTCACCGGTCTCTCCTACCATTAGAAGAGCTTCTTCCCAAACACCGTTGAATGTCGAACAATCTTCGCAGTAATATAACTCCTTAAACTCTCGCATTTTACTTTCTAGAACCCCTAGGCTCGGCTGTGTAGAGGATTAAGCACTAGGTTTTGCTATGCTTAGAGAAGGAATTTAGGATAGGAATTTGTTCGTGGACATCCCCCTTACGAATCTGAGCATTCCCTTGAGCCTGAAAGATGACGTTTGGTAAGCCCTCATTGT